ATCCATATGAATGAATATTTGTGGAAGTATTGAAGCAATAATCTTCCACTCACTTTTATCCGATCAGACTATGCTAGTGATCAGCACTGCTTCATGCAAGTGAATCATTTCGGCACTATTGTAGGCAGTTACGAAAGCAGCCTTGGCCGAGAATGCGGCCAAGAACGCCAATAAAACAGTCTCGGATGCATCTGAGAAGATCAAGAGTATTATCGATCAATTAAGTGAGTTCTTCATTTCCATGTTTCTATTTCAACATGCATCAAGTGTTCTGTTCACTTCAACTTTTAATTCTGTCCTTCATACGCGATGAGTAGTTCAATTTGTTCGGTACATGAAGTACTTCAACTCAAAAATGTTTCGATATCTGAAGTTAGGCAAAGAAGTTAAAGTTAATTTGAAACTATTAATAGTGATCAAAATAACAGTTGATCAATTGGTCAAGCGATCTGTAATGGGTTGATGCATTTTGACGGTTTACTTATTTCCAGATTCACTGGATGAAGTGAATAGTGAAGAGTTAGATGAACTAGAGAAACAACTTGAAGAAGCTGAGAAAATTCTTGAGAATGCAGATCTTGAGAAGCAGGTTTGTTTTATCCCTTGTTCGGTCTCCTTTATTCGAAAGTGTGAATTAATTACTTTTATTCGTATCGTTGAATTGTTGTTCCATTGATGACAGTTGCGATAATGGCAACTATATCATCATTATCGTTGTTGACATCGTTATTCATGACATATTACCTTCATATGCAAAGCTACTCACCAAATAACGATGTGCTTAATANGCGTTTACTGATTATAGGTGGAGGCACTGAAGGAACAAAAAATCGACCAAGATCGAAAGATAACACAGTTCAAGAATGATATCGATGCATTACAACTGGAGGTACGAAATCTTGAAGAGATTCGTAATTCATTACCGGACAAATGCTTCAATCTCATCAAACTGGAACAAGAAGGTCAAAAGTGATTCGATTTAAGTCTCAATTCATCGATTGGTTTATCAGCTGAAGTTGAGGTTCGTTTTTCAAATCTGTACGATACTACCTATGAAAATCAACAACAACAACGACAACAGCAACAAAATTTTATTTATGTATTCATTAAATAAAATCCGCTCATCTGTTGATTATTTTACTCTCATTATCGTAAATCTTCTCACTGAATCATCAAAATGAAACGTCGTCAGTCATTTTATGTACCACAGTTATAACCATCTAACAGTTGATAACGTTGTCTAATTATTAATCAATTCATTCGTACATACGTCTTTTCTCTGAATTTATTTTCGGTTTTGTTTCCTATCTATTGCTCAGTGCAAGCCTACGCAATTTTGTATACAGTAATGATGTGTATAATGCACCTTCTTACACATATAATGACCTATTTATTTACTAATCGCATTATATATGTATACATAAATTCATTTCTAATATTCCATTTGGTACCTGTATAAAATTGATTCCGATGTTTCATCTTGAGGTCGTTCCCATCTAGAAAGACGATGACTATTGTTCATTTTGTGGAGATATTCATCTCTTCAATTTGATCAATCGTTTGGACTAAAAAACTCAAGAGTTTATGCACATAGCATTTGAACATTTCGAACATATTTCACATTAAGTGAACAATGAAATGTTAGGTAGTGTATACTGAAGAATGTACGGCTACGATTTCAAAACAAATGATTAAGGCGAAATCAGTGACTGAGGAAGAATTCATTGAAAATATTCTGAGATTGTCCGTTCTTTTCGGTGACTTACACTTAGTGATCTATTTTAAGCATTTTACTCATTATTAGATGCTTAGGAACAGATCTATAACTGAGCTCGAAACATCGAATAATTCCGATTTCTCTGCGAGGAAACTAATTGATCTAACAAGTGATTTATGAGATTTATCGTTAAGTTTTATGCATGATACTAGTATTTGAATATAAAGTGGAACATTTGGTGTCTTGTGCCTCCTCCTTCTCGTTCTCAGTGCTTTTGCTTATCCTTTAAACTCTTCATTCTTTCAATTCCCGTTCTTTCGCACGTTTGATGGAGTTGCCGAGATTGTGAAAATAGTCATCTTCATGATATATTGTTATGATATGCAAACATATCCCTCTACCTATCCTCCACACTATTCTTGATGAATCATTTCAAACAACTCACTGAACAGTCAGGAACTAATGTGTTTCGATAAACTACTAAATCCCGAATCGATCAAAGAAATTCCTTCCTGTAACATCCAAGGAAGAGTTTCTGATCGTCGCATCTGTTCTGAATTGCCCTGTGTTATTCATTCTGAATCGAACTTTTAGTTCTGGACCAATTTTATTCATTAACATATATTCTCCGACTTTCGAGGGATCATTTTTTAGGTTCATCGAATAGAGTTGAAATTGGGAGGTAGTAATGAATAAAAGAATAAATCTTATTCAGTTATCCTTATAGGCAATGATATGATTGAATGATGCTCACAATCAGTATCATTTCTCATAACACTGCCACTATAGGAATCGTTATGTTTGACATTATTATTGTTATTATTACAGTTATTATTGTTATTATTATCGTTACTATTGTTATTATTATTATTATTGTTATTACTGTTGCTGATAATTTTAATTCTGATATCATTTTTGATATCGCTGTAATAATATCGATATTGAAGTCATCATTAAGTCTGTTTATTCTTCATTATAGATTCTTTTGTATCGTTGGTTTTTCATCCATGTCGAAATGGTCCATTCCAAAATATTGGAATGTAAAACGTTCGAAGCATTTTCTCTAGTTTTATCAGTAATACTTGTTAGTATCATTATTATGAATATGTTCTATTGTATTTTATGATTCATATCTTGAAGAGAACTTTTTTTGCGTTCATTTGAATGTCCTTTCATGGGTAGTTTGAGCAAATTTGTCGTTGCTCTGTCTTCACAGACGTTTTTCTGATGATCAGCCCATAGAATTAACAGAGATTACTTTAAAAACATCAAAAACAAGTCAGGAATGAGCGCAGTGAGGTTGATCCCATGCTAAAGGGCTTATTATAAGACTCACGATTGAATTCACTGGTATTATCATATTATCATACCAAGATATTATCATACCAAGAAGTCCATACAGTTTCATGAATGCTTAGGGTCTCTAGATAGGTACTTTATTCAGGAGCTATCGAACGACGACTAGGAAAACATTCAAATGGACTGAACGCCTAGGATGTAATTTTATTGTTGTTAATGTTATTATCTTCTTGTTGTATTTATATTATATAGAACATTTTGAATTTATTATTTTTGATTTTAATTGATTGTTTTCTGTTTAAATTGATTCATTTTTTAAATTCAATTTAATTCTTTTAGTTCACTGATTAGTGTATAGTTGCGATATCTGATCTGCTGATCCCAACTATACACGGATCTTTCTCTCGGTTCCAGCTCTGTCAACTGCCCTTGTGTTACATACGAGAACCCCCCGATTCCCAGCTACATCTGCTGTGCCTTTTTTTGATTCTCTCCCCATTTTCATCTTTTTTCTGATTACTTCTTTTCATCATTTTATCATTTCTTGCAGTCTTCTGAATTATTATTACTCGTCGTTTTATCGAATATCGTCGTCGTCGAATTTCTTGAGTAATCGTTGTTTTTATAGTTGAGTTATATGATTGATTGATTGATTGATTACGTTATGATGATTCGTCAGTTGTTTTTGTATGAGCATTGTTTTCATTTTAATGCGTGTTTGTTATTTTTATGCTGCACATTCACCTTTTTACCTACATCTAGGTTTTCAGTTGAAGCAAGCATCCACGAAAGCCGTTTGTGTGTATATATATATGAAAAGATGAGCGAGCTATAGTCTTAGGAAAGGAGTTGTTAAAACTGAAAAAATTTCTTCACAGTGTTTGACCAATCGTTGATCGACTCGCTGATCAGTTTCTTTCAGATGGAATTCGTTCCGTTCTGAAAGTTCACTTTGACTTAAGCGATCATCGATATAGTTTCTCATTGTTGAGGCTTATCAGATCGATTGTATTTATCCATATTTACGATGAATAAAACTCATTCGAAGGATCAGATTCTGTACGAAAGAGAAATTTTCGATTATGTATAAAGATAGATGCATAACGACGGCTTGAATGGACGATAATGAATGAAATTAATTCTATAAATATTGCGATATATTATTATTAATTGTTTAATGAAATTAATTCTATAAATAATATTGCGATATCACTCGATGAATAATTGGTGCTGTATTTGATTTTGCTCCTTTTTTTGGTTCGATTTCTTTCTCGCGATCTATTTTTTTGATTTGTTTTCGATTAGCTTAATTCTTTTTTTTTTGAACGTTTGCGTTCGTTTATGTTTATGTTCTCGTTTGTTTTGTTGTTTTGTGCTTATTGTGCTTCATACGATCGTTAATAATAATAATAATATTACTATTAATATCAATTTGTTGGAATTTCTCCATTTGATTGATTCATTTAACAGTTATCCCATTTTGACAATTCATTTATCCATATACATTAGCTTAGCTCATCAATCAGTGTACATTTCGTTGGGAAGCGCTCTTTCGAGACTAATTATCAACGATATCATCAAGGTTGACCTCCTCTTGCATTGCATTTGCAAATATTCATTGCGGTTCTCTGATAAGGAAAATATTCAGTTTCTGTGCTTTACGTGATAGTTTGATATGATAGATTAGTTACTGAAGAATTTGATTGAACAATTTCAATTTCAAGAGTGAAGACTGGCTCTTCGATATACTCCGTAGTTGATGATCGTTTCCGATGGGATATTGTGTAAAATTCAGTGAAAGTATACTTTTTTATGTCAGATTTATTACGAATTTACTTATTTTGTAGGAAATTCCAATTGAGATGTGCTGATTACCTTAGTTTTATTGGTAATGAATCAGTTTAACGATCTTGTTTGTATGAGAAAGTTATTTATTATAGTTTTTTCATTTACGTTTCTTTTTTTACTGCGTATGATCTTTTGTTATGTTTGTCTTTATTATTACCAATATTTTGACATTATTTTATTTATTATTATTAACAATAAATGATACTTGTTCCGATTGATTCGCTGAATCGTCGACAGAAGTGTATCGCAAGCAATGCAATTGACTCAGTGCGTTAGGAATAAATTTTTGTCAAATGTTGTGAAATGGAATTTTGTATGTATGGAAATTCAATAG